CTACTCAGTGAAAGCATACAGGGGCGAATATGTCGTTGATGCTGAGATATATCTGCTGATGATGCAATGAAGGACTCCCACTTGTTTCCCTCAGAAACTAACCACCATTTTGAGTATCCCTGTTAAAATTGTAGCAATGCATCGCTGTGATGTGTATAAGAAGAAAAAAGAATTGGCATCAAAAGAAGCAGAATGTATACATCTTTCACATCGATTTTGACATTATTTACTATTTTGCCCTTGTGATTCCTTTTTTGCTCCCGTTGGTTCCCAAATGACCACATGGTAGGTCCCGGTGGTTACCAAGTACTTTTTGTGTTTCTTAGTTGTATCATACGTCCCCCAGTTGGTTCCCTTGTAGCCTTCAATTTTTTCTTAATAGCCCCATGTGGAACTGTAACGACCCTTGATACTAAGTTGCTACTACGGCCCTGTTGTAGTGGCTTAAGCTTTTATAGTTCAGTCGGTAGATATAGAGCATCAGACTTTGTTTTTTCCAACTGTTCATAGGCTGATAAAACCCCCAAGAGATCTCGGGCTTTTAACCTCGAAAAATCCTTGACTTGCTGATTTAATGTTGAAGAAACTAAAAGGAATAGAACGTATGTATATTATTGGAAGCAGATTCGCAAGCGCACCACAACGCAACGCAAGTTTTTGCGAGTCGCAATCAGGATTTGTATCATCCGCCCAGCGCAATCCAACGCAATCGCAAATTGAAAGATGTTTCATTCGCAACGGACCAAAAAGTTGCGATAACCCTGCCGCAAATCATTCACAAATATTACCCATCTTTAAGACAATTGATATCTATTTTAAATGTGTCAATCTCGGAGTTTCTTTATTGATTGCGTAAATAGTTCTTTTCTAAAGGCGACTGTGTAACAAAAAGTTTTTTTTCGTAAGTGCTTTAATCGAAGAAATTGTTATTGGTACGAGGGGTGTTTAAAACCTTCGAGTTTTATAATTAAATCCAAATTCTGATCGCCCATCCAAGAAAACAAACGCTATGTTCATTCCGGAATCGCTAAATATGGGCGTAACTTTGAGGTTCTTTTTGCAACAGGCAACTTACAAATGACAAAAAGGGACGTATTCGGAATAACCCACGCGTGTCTCGTGGTGGTGGTAGGGGTGTCCACTATTATGTCAAGGTACAGTACGTTGTAATTTTCGATGGGCACTGACTTTGAACTGTGAATCAAGGTATTTCTATTTCAAGGCATCTATTTTGAGATAAGTATTTTAGGCCCGGTAAGTCCATTGGCATCAAAAAGTTCTGTGACACAGACATGATTTCACCGCAAATTTTAGTGTTAATCTTAGTGTTTTCTGAGGGGAACATTATAAAAAGATGTATCCATTTGGATTCCTTCATTATTTGCAAAGATGAAGTGCACGGTTATGATACAGGTCCCGCTGGAAATCTCCAAATCGCGAGTGCAAGAAATAAATTAAAAGTCATTTTCATTTAATTTTCCTAATGAGTACATCGATTGGAAAAAATCATTACGAGATGACCTGGGTCTCGTTATTTCATATTAATTGAAGTGAATAGAGGGATTATGCTTTAAAGGCAACTACTGGAAAAAGTATCAAGAGCTGTCGTTCAGGAGTTCGATGTTTGAAAATTGGAGAGAGAAAGTATCATCTTGAATCTTTATCGACTATTTTTTGATATGTTATAGCTGAAGAACGTCGTTGAGCTGCGATTGAAATAACCAATGATTTAAAATGTGGACAAATTTCATGAAATATCATAATGCCGAATACAGATTCTTGAATCGTTTTTATTCATTGTAAATATGAAATCTGATTATGACTAAAGGGAAAAGAACGGGATGCGATCGATTAGTTGGAAGAGTACATATTATATACATAATCAAAACATAATTGGTTAATTCACCCTTTCAGTCATATGATTCGACGTTAATGTAGGCCTAATTATAAGTCTGAGACTAATTAAAGAAGAATGGGGTACTACCTGACGTGATATATGTAATCAAATTTGAATTAATATACCCTTCTAATAGACCCTGCAACCGTTGGTACTTGGAAGCTAGATTGATGATGTCATCGGTTTTGATTAAAAAACATTAACAAATCATTGTCAAATCATACCCCTGCAGGACACTGAATATTGGAAAGGTCCATTGATTTCCTAAGGAAGTTGTAATGAACATGTAAAAATTCATCAACAATTAGAAACCTATGCAATTATAAGTATCAGACTAATTTAATAAGAACGAGGGGGGGGGTGAACAGAGGTGTTTTTTATTTTTGGACACCAGATACTTTACTTGTAGATTCACGAGTAATATTTGGTGTTCAAAATTTTGAAAAGAAAGGGGTAGAATGTTCAATCTTAACAATATTGAATCCTGTGAATGCTAAAACCTTGAAATGAAAACAACACACAATCCCAACGCTTATAGCTGGTCTCATTGAGGTTTGGATCAGAGATCACCGTTTTTAGAGCATCATTTTGATTATTTTATTAACACCCTATACGAAGTGATCATCGGAGGTTAATTATGCAGATACGATTAAGGAGGAAAACCCAGACGACAAAAATTGATGATGTGTGGGACAAGGGGGGGGGGGGAGCTTATATTTGAAAGTTATACATTGTATTGACCTGAAAATGTTGGTTCACTTAACGTGAGACATACCCGTGATTAAATTTGTAATATGTTAGAGATTCATATTTAAAAGTGAAATGGATGCGAAGTAATACATCGTTACTTATATTGTCCGATGCAGGATTACGTCCAACTGAAGAAATGTTAACCAATTTGGAACTTTTTGAAACAATGTTTCAAAAAGGTTCCAAATTTGTTTGAAATGGTCACTTGTTTGAGTCCGGGTTTTAATAACAATACCCTGCCCACTTGCTTTAATTTCACCAGCAACACGTCGGCAAAACGTTTGTTCCACATATAAAGCAAAGCACAAACATACATGTATGTGTAATGTATACCCATGCGACATGCGTCATCGTTCTTGACGTAGGGCATCAACAATTGGCCTTTTTTGGCATAATTGCCATTTTGGGCCTTTTTAGGGCAAAGTTTGAAAGAAGGTTTTTAAATATTGTAAATTTTAGGCAAGGAACATTTTTTCTGGCTTGAAATGTGGGCCCTTGCTAGCTTCTGGATCCACCAGTGTATGGTAGGCGTAATTTAACATCTACCACTTATGAAATAGCATGGAATCTGATATGATTATCATCTAGTACTTTGTGACAAATACGACAAAAGCTGTGGTACTATTCTTATTTGAATTCTATCACATTTCTCTTCTTTTATCGTGTCCATTATGGTTTACCTCCGATCACCTGGGGTGAATAAAAACGCGCTTTTATATACTATATACCTACTCGACTACTCGATCAACCTTTCTGGTCGATACGCCCTCTAAAAAACAAGATATGTAAACCGAATTATAATGCCCACGAACGGAGAGTTTATTTTTATTTTCTAGTTGAACCATATGCCATAGAACAGCTGATGCAATAATAAAATAGACTGTTTTTGTAATCCCCTCATCTTCTGTGGTAGAGATTTTCGGCACTCTATTTGGTTCTGCATTAAACACAAAGTTCATAAGTAGTAAGGCATTATGAAGAATTTCTAGATACCAATCACCAAAGTTTGAATTGTCTTCAAATCTATAAAATTAAAAATAGTTACAATTTTCACAACATAGTTTAATGGTGCATTCAGTAGCGAGAATGCAGTAAATTCTGATAATACCGTATTCTACATGTAATTGCCGTAAAACCATCAGAAAATGTTGAAGGCTGGTTAAGTTATGACTTTTAAAGGCCTCTTCAAACATAAGCGAATCCTTTAAACCAGCCTGGCGAATAAGGGAACTGCTACAAAATATAGCTGAATAACTAGACGTCGCCACTTGTTTTGATCTGTTTTTGTTGGGCAAGACTACCATAGGCTTCATTGATAAAATCTTGCATTAGTCACTTAATTTCATGATTGAACAAAAGGTTTTTGTTGAATCTGTCTAATTGTTTACAATGGAATAACCATGTAAATGTACATATTGTGATTAATCATGAACATTTTGTTGTTGAACGAATATAAACAAACGAACAATTCTAAAATTGCATCTATTGAGATTTTTCCCACACTTTTTTTTAGAAAAGTTGAAAAAGACGTAGAAATCGTGTCAACCAATTATTGTTGAAAATCTTTATAGGAGTTCATGCTACTAAAAATGACTTTCTGTCAACGGGAGTTTAAACTGCAAATCTCTCACGAAAAACGAGGATTGGTGAGATTTCAAAGCTAGATAGTAAGTTCTCTATGTGGTGTTAAATTCTAGAGATTGGGAACCCAAACATGCATACCAAAGCAAAACTTTTCGTATGCTTCCGAAGCTGCCTGAAACTTTCCTAGAGGGTACCAATATGAAGGAATTTTACACACGTCGTTCGCAAGTGTACGCTGGAGTGGGGGGGAGGTCACATATGTGAGTGGAGGCCATAAAAGAAAGCTATGTCTAAATGCTATTCTGCTGACACCTTAAGACCTCCTCTTACATGAACGAATCTACTAGCACAGCCTTCAAATGGGGTCAATTGTCGATTCTGGAGACCTGGAGACTGGGAACATAAACCTTCCAACAGAAGCGCAACTTAATGCCTCCAAAGCTTTCCAAACGGTTCTTCTGCATACGCAAGGATATATACTAATTGGAACAAATAATGGGCGGTTAGAGCAATAGCGATTCAAAAAATGAGAATAAGGTTACTGGAGACTGGACATACTATTCCTTTAAATGTTGCACTAACATCTTACAAGTAAGTATTAGGAAGTTCTCAAAGGCAGTACAACGCCTGTAGTTGTGGTTCTGATTCAAACATAGTTCTTATGATAAACACTTGATATCTATAAATAAATCATGGCCGCGTTCAGAAAGTAATTAGAAAGTGATTGCAGTTCTGTACAAAGGCTAGCAATAGCTAATGCAAACTGTAGAGCTTAGTTCTGATAACATTCAGACGGGTTACAAATACAATTATATCCATCCTATTGAAGGAATAATTTATAATTATGGAACAAGCGAGTAGTTAAATGAATAATTGATAGTATCATTAGCAGTTGAAAGGGTCAACTTGCAATTGCTCATTTTAAAATGAATCACTCGGGTATCAACAGCGATGGTTTTTTCAGGAACACGACGATCGTTTGGTTGGAGAATTCAACACTCGCCAGCTATAATGTGACCAACAGTTCGGGTGTTCCAGTGACTGGACCAATTAACCACATGGTGAAGTCGGCTATGGCTATTTGGAAATATGGATCCCCGGTGCTCGTGACGTTAGGATTTATGTTCAATACAATGGCGATAGTTGTACTACTCCAAAAGAATCTGCGGAGAAAGACATCAAGCTTGTACCTGATCGCATTGGCAATTTCTGACACGAGCGTCTTAATGAACGGCTACTTAAGATTCTGGATAATTATGTCTACAGACGAGAAACTTAACATCAGAGATATATCTCAAGCCGGTTGTAAGATTATGACATTTCTGCTCTATCTGAGTAACCAATTTTCTGCCTGGATGTTGGTCTGTATAACCGTGGAGCGACTGATAGTCGTGTTTGTTCCTCACAAGGCCAGGTTGATCTGCACTTTCCGCTCAACAGCGCTGACAATACTGTGTGTGTTTGTCGTCTTATGTATTGTGAACATGCACTTCTTTTGGTCAACGGGGATTCTTCAGCAAATTCAGATATGTCGCTGGTTACCGGGATTCGACTTCATCAAAAATGTGTACCGTTGGGTCGATTTCGCCCTAGGGTCAATCATCCCTTTTATTGTCATGATTGTGTCGAACGTCATCATAATTGCTAAACTTACGTGTTTCAGGCGGCACATTCAATCCAACCAGAACACCAGCTTTGGACGAATGGCTGTGATGTTAGTGACGGTTAACTTCACTTTTATCGTTCTTACATTGCCAATCTTATTGTATCTTGTTCACGGGTTTGACCACTGGTATGTAGAGGATCGATCAAGATTTTACCTACTATGGGCATGTCTTAATCTAGTGTTTTACTCCAATAATGTACTAAACTTTGTAATGTATTGTATATCGGGGACAGATTTCAGAAGTACACTTCGAGATGGAATTTGTAAATTGTTCCTTTGTTGTAAGGATTGCCAGCACTTACCAAATAGTAGTTTATGGACTAATTTGTCAATGGGAAAGAGAACTTCGGAAACCCGATCTAGCAGTCCATCAAGAATTTACCCGCATTCCAGTAAAGCTCCAAGATGTCATGAAATCGAGGAATTGATTGATAAACAAACCAGTACTGTCTGAATTGAATCCTTGAATCGATGTTAAGACATCAGTGAATTCTGAATACGAGTCCTTATATATGGTAAAACAGTGAATTTGTGATTTCTGAAATGATTAGCTACTTCGTTCATAAACGTCTTTAATACGTCCATCTCATTCGCAGTTAATTCAGGTCGTACATGGTGACCGGAAAAAAGAGACCCAAACAATTTGAATAACTTCCTTATTAATGATGATTTTGTTTTCATTTTCAAGAGAATATAGTTAATTCAATGGAAATGTTGTTAAAATGTCACCTTAGTCAATATGCCATGGGCGTTGAAATATAAAATGTTTGTGGTAGAGACCCATTTTAGGACCGAATCAAAAGTACTGGTATAACAATAGTTATACAGGCAACTCAGATGTCATGATTATCCAAGAAAAGTTGTCATATTCGAGTGCTTGGGATACAAAGTTAATGACTCATGGGACACTTGGAAGACTCAACAGAAAAGATAAAGATACAGATTGTGCAAAAACTGCAGACAAAACACACCGGTGTAAAAGGGTAGGAGGTCCTTTCAAATTATGGTCCTACTCTCCATTGATTTATATGGTGACCTAAATTCAACTCTTTCCCTCATTATCTTATACGCAATCAGGACCAGTAAGGGCCGTTAAGAAAGGGGACCATAATCCCAGGGGGACCATCATTTCTTTCACACCGGGTGTGGGACTCAGTAGCACTATACATGTATATGCAGTATATGCATATGCAGTTACAGTATTGTCCTTAGGACGTTTTTTGGCAGATCTGGGTCATTGTATGGGATTTGATTGTGTCATACAATGGTTTTGACAAGGTGGTGCAAGGTTCTATCGATGTCACTTGTCTATTTTAAGAGATATTGCCTATTTTAATTGTCTCCGTCTCACTTTCAGGCCACCCTGTACCGTTAGGCACAATTTATATCCGATTGCACAACGTCGTCAACGAGTAAAGCAATTACGTTCGTAGTGTAGCAAGTTATCTCATTTGAAGTACGTTGTCACACGATCTAATTACAGAATGGTATCGTTGCCTTCGAATTTTGAACTAAATCAACAGATTTTCTGAATCATTGTATGCATGAAGTGCGCATAATTCCTTTATTCAATAGTCTTCAATAGTCTAGCTACAAGGCCTCATGACATAAGTTGCCAGTTGTCAGTTCAGTTGTGTAGAGGGCCCGGGGTCTTGAAGCAAGACTATTCATTCAAAATGTTATTAGTATACATCTAGCATCATCACGAAGCGCCATATTATTATTTGAGTCTTCAGAGCGGTGTCTGTGTTGTTATTGTTAGCTAGGTAAAAACGTGTGCTTTTTTAATTAAAAAATTTGCACACTAACTGCACGCATATGATGATGGAGAAAATCGTCCAAGAAATAGGTTTAAACGGAAAAAAACAAAATATCTTACGAAAATCTGCTCCCGGAAGGCAAGTCAGCAAGTCATATTGTTGCATAGACACAATGACTACGTTCATCATTAGTCAGGTCTTTTTCTACTAATCGTTAATGTGAGGAACAAATATCATTACACAGAGTGCATAGAGCAACATCAGTCACAATTTCAATTGACCACGATTTAAACTAATGGATCAGTGATTGTTACAATTCTCATTTGGAACGATTAAACGCATTATTGTTATTACAAAATGATTCATTTGAATGAATAAGTCAATCGGCATTGTTACTCCATCGGGATCTGTAACATGATTTACAATTGCTGAATAGAACCTGGCGATTGACAATGTTTATGTTCATGCACAAATCGGAGGATCGAGGGATGTGTAATTTAAAACAAATACAAGATGGGAAATGTATACATATTTATATCTGTCAATTCTATACATCGAATGCTCTGGGAGATGGAAGCTTAATCACCTTTGACTCATCCTTGAATTTTTGATACCCAGTTGGCATCTTAACTTATTCCAGTTGACCCCTTTAATTCAGTAGACCATATGGACCCATGCCTGTACTAGAGTGTCCAAGGAAATATAACTATCGATATTTTTAATTTTGAAATGTCCCTTCAATGATTTCATCAGTATTTTCGCTGGGGATGCATTGATCAATTTTAACTCTTCCCTAAGTCACTGGGTCTAACAACCTGTATCTTAGTTGTAAGCTGGGCACTGCAGCAGATATGAACATGCTGTGGTTAATCTGAACTCTATATGGCTTCTACCTAACCTCTTAACTGGCTGTGTTAATTTGCCTTAATTAATACACACTAATTGCATCTGCTAGGAGTGGCTATCAGCTGATGAACACATATTGTTAGATCAAGCTTTGGAATTTGTTGGTTTTTTAACTTAAACATTGAATATCTAAAAAAATTACCTTTTGATTTTACTTTTGTTTTTTAGTGTGATAGAATGGTCATTTCTCTAAAGAAATCCATAAATATCTCAAATGCCTTATTTATACAGAGACATAAAATTATCAAACAAAATCATGCGTACAACCTGAAATAATGATAAAGTTTATCATGCAACATTGTTGTAGCTAGGATGTGTGTGTGTTTTGTATTTAAAAGGTTACTTACATTAATTTGCTGACTTTTTCCTTTTTCTCTTTATAATTCCAGGAATTTGTGTAAATATTTCTGGTTCAACTCCAACCCAGTGCTCAGTCATAGTTGCGAGAAGACGGTTTAGGTTATTTTTCATCCCTGCCATTTTTCTATCCAAAGTATTAAATTGATGATGTAATGACTCTCCACCTTGTTCTCCGTGGAGCGCCATGCCACAATTATACTTTTCAATCCATTCACAAACATGGTCCTCGAGGAAATGTTGTTTTGGAATTATACTTATTTTGGGAAAGTTTTTTCTAAATGATTCCATGTATTTGTTTATATCATTTTGAATTTCATCCACATCACTATTTTCTATTTTATTGTCCGATGAAACTTTATAGTGAATTGTAGAGAATAGGTTGTTAACCTCTCTGAACTTGTTAACCATTTTTGTCGCAGATTTTAAGCATTTTTTCTGGCATGGTAATCCTTTTGTCACATTTTCAGTCTTCATTATAACTGCATCACAAACAGCATTAAAAACATTGGGCTTCAAATATTTGTGACAATGGTTTCCGACAAAGCTTTTGCCATGGTAGTTAGATCTGTGGATTTGGTGTTTTTTGAGAGTTGAGTCTATTGAATATGCTATTGGTCCCGATTCTATGTCAAGCTTTGTTTTGGCATCTAATTCTTCCAATTGTGCCGTCAATTGTTCTTTCTTTGTTTCATTGCTGGTCTTTTTAATTGTTTCAAAGAGGAGTTTTTGTTTACTAATATTTGAGATATACTCTCCAAATACTGTATTGTCGGTGTATGTGTTCAGGGTACTATGGTCTGCCAACTCTGCAGCAATATATTTATCTATGGCATGACACTTCTCTAAAAGGACATCATGGTGTTTTTTAACCACGCCTAAGACAATATGTAGGTAGGGAGGGCAGATGCGCTCTATAGGAATGTTACATATTGGCTTGTTAATAACATTTTTGTGTAATTTTGCATTTTTTAATAGGCCCTTTCCTTTGATCTGAAAATCTTCTTGATGTTTTTTCATATTCTCTAATGTTCTTTTTGGTAATTTACCCCTGACAGTAAGTGGTATCCCTAAATCCCGAGATGGTATCTCACACCACAGGCAGGGATGGCATCCATTAGCCCCCGTGATGCCCATAAATGTTGCTAGGAAAGCAAAGTCACCAAATAGAAATACACGAATTGTTTTACCTTGCCATTTCTGTCCATCGAGGCGTGCAATTTGGCCACTGTATCTCCCAAGCGCAATGTCAAGGTTTGGCCGAGAGTCCTTGGCATTGAAACAGGTAAATGCAACTGTGTTCTTAGGGGAATTTGGCGAATCAGTATTTAATACCTGGTATGACATCTTAAAAGACGATCCTCCATGATCACCCCCAACTTTGACATAGATGTGATCTTTTGGAATGCTTTCATTATTCCAGTTTAGCAAATTCTGAGCTGACATTTTATTTATTCTTGATACCACTGTATTGTTTAAGTTTTGAACAAATACCATGGGCTTGCTTGATCGAATCAATCCCTTTTTGGCATGTGGAGCTGTTTTGTCCTTACAATGGAATTTCACCAATTCTGCTTTTAAGCTTTTACCTATGAATTTGTTGCGTAATTTTCGTTCACTTGTTTCACTTGAATATTTAATTCCAATCTTGCGCAGGTATCTTTTTATTATACTTAATTGGTACCAAGAGAGTTTTGCTGTAGATTTCATTGATAAGCAGTATTTCTTAGGTAACTTTGAAGCAGCAAATCCCAAGTTTTTTGCCATCTCTTGTCTTCGCTTCTTTGAATGGAGTTTAAATTCCCTTGTCATTTGTGCGTTTAAAGAATTATTATCCTTTCCCGATGATACATCACGAATTTTATTGATAAATTTAGCCCTTTTTCGTTTGGTTGGAGTTCTGGCTTGGGAACTGGGTGTTTGCATCTTAGTTATTTTTGTGAACAGTAGGGGCTGGAAATATCAAATGTTGAGTTGTATTTCCTTGTAAGGGAAAGATAACTTCAATTCTCTGTTAATGATAAGTGGAATAATTGGAGTGCTTTTAGATTTAAGTTTTATTACCCCTGTATAATTGGTGTGAATAGTCATCATTAGAAATGATACTTAAATTATTTGCTTGAACAATATGAATGCACTTATGAATTAAAATGTAATATTGGTTTTATAAGAATTAATTGAACTTTAATGCAATATTATAATTACCTTTCCTCTTGTTTTACATCTTAGCATTTCTCCATCTGAGTTGTGTAATGATCTCCTAACAAGGGCTGTAAGAAGTTTTTCCTCTAAAGTTGTCAATTTTTCTGTTTTACTCTTCAATAAAACATTTCGTATTGTCTCTTCATCATTGTCGCGTTTTTCCTTTCCAGGAGAACTCTGTGTGGAATTGTCACACTTTTTTGGAGTACTTTGTAAAAAACTAATTTCCACAAGCGATTCAGTTGGATCACTTTTTGCATTTTTGATTGGAGAAGTATGTATAGCGGATATGTTAGTCAAAGATAAATCAGTTGAATCACCAGTTGAATCCAAGTCTGATTGATCCATAGAATTCTCCTCACCATCTCTCAGTTTCGAATGTTTTTTACCAGGATTTCGGAATGTATTTTGCTCTTCATATTTTTTGCAAACAATGCAGTCATCTATTAGTGATAGTTCTTTACACCACATCAATTGATTGTTCTTCACTTCCTGAATATAGTTAGGACTTACTGAATTCTTTTTAAATTTTACATTCCTGTAGCAACTCTGACATACGCATGTTGGATAGTTTTCACCTTCTTTTAAATCCATGTTTAACAACGAATTTGCATCTTGGTTGATACTCTTGAAACTTCTGAAAGTTTTTTTACTTTGCTTAGCACTTTTAAGTTTTGTCATACATAGTCTACACATGTTTTCTAATGCTTTTTTGTGTAAAGTCAAATGTGTCTGTAGAGACTCCATCTTGATGTCTGATAATGTGAACTTAGAAATGATGGTGAGGATCTTCAAATCTAATTTAAATTAGTTATATAGATAAGGCATTTGAGATATTTACATGAATGGATAGGGGATGAATTGATGTAAATCATGGTACCACATTTATGTAATAGTAAACGTAAAATCTTGAGAAAATTTGGTGGAACTAATTATTCAAGTTGCAAAATCTTAAAATTATCTACCAGACCACTCATTATAAAGCCATTCAGAACTTTCTCCATGAATCATTAACCCTTCTGATATCTCTAACATTAGTATAATACATATGGGGGAGTGTTATTTAACAGTCAAAAAGCATATATATTAAAGGGTTAATGGTTTATTCAGAACTTTACAGCAATAAAGCAAATCAGAGTGGTCAGTTTGCTGCCATGTTGTTTCTGCATGTTGCCAAGGCAGTTGCTATGCTTTAGGCTATTACATAATCAAGCAGCAGAGCTTCCAGCTTCCAACTAAGATATCAAGGCAGTATAGGGAGTTGAGGCCCAGTGAAGTGGCATCGTTGATTCTCAGCGATATATTTGACGACTCGGAAAGGTTAACAGACAATAAGGAAAATGTTAAGCTACAAAGGTAATATTTTCACTTTTACAGTTTCACGGATCATCATGTTAAAGTGCATCGACCAATTCATAATTACCAAACACGTCCATCAGCAGAAAATAGTCCCAAATATTTTACCTTTCACTGTTATGATCACATGTTTCCCAGTTCTTCTATAAACTATATGTCTGCAAATTAGATTATTCTATCCAAAGATGGTACTTTATAATAGTATACCATTGAAGACCCAAAACAGGTTTTAAATAGAACTGCTTTCCTCGAAATAAACAAACCGAGTAAGGATAGTATACTCTAAAGAATCATCTTTGTTGGTGTATCCTTATGGGGTACCCGTATAGACTGTCAGCTTTTACAAGTTCAAAAATCTCTTAGAGAATATCTTGTTCGCAGCAGCAGAACATTTGAGTGAACATTCTATTCCCATTGAAAATGCACAACTTTCCATCAATGACAGTCACTATTTTTATGTACTAGAATCTCGTAAACAGATTGTCCTTTGGACTATGTGTATACAAAACAAAAGCTCGAGCTTCAGATACATAAGAAATAAGCAGTAAAATCAATTAATTATAATCAGTGTATTTTGCTTTGACAAACTAAACTGAGATCACAATATTATGTCAAATCTAGTTAAATATGTGAAGACCAAGTTCTCTGTGGGCTTTATGTATCACTTCTGTACAGTTAAATGGGGTATCACTGCAATCAGATTTGGCATGGATCTCTCTTTTCAGCAGATCACATTTGGCCTTCTCTGATACAGAGAAATACGTATCAGCAACACATGCCCGCCATTCAGACGAACTATCATCGCCTCCACAATCAGCTATCCTGCAATATACCTCTGTCAACTTTACTTTCTTTAAATCCGTCAGTTTCGGCATATCAGGTAACGTTGTTGGGGCACACCCTTTAGAACTGAAAGGATTGCATTTAAATTATGATTATTGTACCATCTAAGTATGGTAAGTACTGTATATACAGCATCATGTATAAATATATCATAATTTATAAGGCTATTTATTCCATACAATATAATAACACATGCATTAAACAGTTCATTACCAATCAAAATATACTTAATACTGAGAGAGTACACATATTCTGAACTTTAATCAGATACGACCCCTTGCATATACTTAAATCTAAAAAGATCTACCTTGATATACTGTCATATTCTACTTGATAGGAATTGCCTATTGTTCTCCCGTAATTGTCCTCTGCCTTGAGTACTTTAGTACTTCCCTTAGCCGTGTAGTCGTTATCTGCTTGGCCATCAAAATTTCCACACATCCCATCGAAGAATGCTATATTAGAGTGTCAGGTATAAGATCTTCCCTGATTATGGGGATTCACTATACTTAATTATTTCGTCATTATTCATTATGGGGTAGTGACAGGTGCTATTGACATTCATTTACATTCATTTTTCAGTTGGCCATGAATAGTAGTCTAATCAGTTTATTTCGCGAATGATACCTACTCCCCTCTAAATATATAAGGGCAAATTTACGATAATTGATATTTTCAAAATCAGTTGTTCTACTAAAGCCTGTGTCGTGTGTGTTGATACCAGCGACATTTGATGAGTGGTATTTTAAGACCATCACAACTTGTTATCACAATCATGCGATGTATACTGAAATATTGCTTATTATTTCTCAAAAACAGCTTAAATTATGATTTTCTTGTCAAAAAAACAAAGTTTTGTTTTGTTTGTGGTGATAGAAAACCGGATTACAGCACATGCAGAGCACCGATTGCGTTGATATTTTTCAAACTACATAAAACATATGTTTGACGTCAGCTCTTAAAAGGTTGATGTAAGAGGTGTGTTTTTTCGAATTTGTTCATAAATTGAATATGTTGAGCATGTTTTGGAGGATACAAAACATATGGACATTATAAAACGTGTTTATTTTTGAATGAGTTCCACATATCAAACAACCGCCTTTGAGAGATGGTCGAAAACATATTGTATTAACCAGTTAGAAACTCTCGACGGACTTGATGCATAATTTGTTATGTTGTCCGAGTGTCCATAGCAAAATTTGATTTTTGTCAGAAAAAATTATCATTTAAGCTGTTTTTAAAGAATAATTGTTGGATTTACACTAGAGCCCTAAGACGTCTTGGGTAAAACAGTTTAGCGTTAAAACGTTTTACAAATGTAATGTAAAACTAGATTTTCTCAAGAGTACAGTATATAGTACATACGTAAGTCACAATTTCATTCGATCACGATTGTATTTATTTACGTACCCAATTCATTTGTTCCAAATTCCTTCAAAACGTACACGTACGAGTCCCAGTCACCATCAAAGACAATTTTTACACCATAAGTCTGAATGTTTATTGTTGTAAAACGACCGTCGTCAACAATTAATACGGGTTCTTTCAAGTAATCCAGTTCTATACCCGCATCCCTTTCCTCTTTTGATAATGCCCGATTGTTTCTCTGGAATCAACACATAATATATCGTTTTATCGTTGACTCATACAGTAACACACGTGCTAGAGTCACATACAATGGGGTACAATCACGAGAATTTCCTGTAGAACAGGGGGTATGTCAAGGCCGGTGTAAAAGGGAAGGAGATCCTATCAAATTATGGTTCTACTCTCCACGGCTAACTCAATTAAATGTGAATTGTATTTTATAGAAACCATCACTTTTCACGTATTTAAATATGATAGCAATTATTTAGTATACGATTTAACACCCATTCCGTATTAACACTTGGAAACCGGTACCCTTTGCATTCGTTTGACTTCACTTCTTAAAAGAGAGCTTCCTCTTCATTATATACCAATTCCTTATTAACACGTGGACTAGCATCGAGTTTTTTAAAATGTTGAAATCGTTTATTTGGAGATATTACGAACCAAACTGACATGGTCGGTTCATGAAAGACTAAAGTATCTGTCGCTAGCAAGTGAAATCGGTTTCAACAAATTTAGATTTAAAAAGTTATGACAACTTTTGTCATTTTTTCACGTTTTTGTAAATATAAACAAAGGAGGTTGGGGCCCCAAGGCTTTTTTATTATTCTATCGACAGAGATGTGTTTGGTGTCTGTCGAAAGTAAAATCAATTCCATAGAGCATGTCGCTATACAGTATCGCCGTGCAAACTTGCTGTGAAACATAATCTCAATTTCCATAGGACAAGGTCTAGTCCATGGTATGAAATCTCTAGGACGTCTAATAAAGGAGCTGGTAGCACACTATAGCGTAGCTGAAGCTACAGATATAACAAATGTTTTCTGAAAAATCAGCAAAATTGTACATGGGGTAATTGATTTATTATGATGTAATCATCAACTGCAATAGACAAAATCGAAAAAAAGCTAGCACTATTTCTACCATTTGTGTTATCTCTAGAATAAGATTACACAATCTTCCATCCTCATAGTTGTTAAAGTTATTGCACCAAGTTGAAAATTGAATGAAGTATATTTTTGGAAAGTTTGAACATCCTAGCTTTACTATTTTGTGATTAATTTATTATGATGTAATCATCAGCTCCAATAGACAATATCGGAAAAAAGCTAGCACTAATTCTACCATACGTTTTGTCTTAAGGATAAAATTACGCAATCTTACATCATCGTAGTTGTTAAAGTTTTTACACCAAGTTGTAGATAATTGAATGAAGTATATGTGGAAAAAGTTTGAACATCCTAGCTCTACTAATAAAAATGTTACAAGGGGGTGCCCTTTTGACCCCCCCCCTTAGGTGTTCGTGTGACTATTTTTACCTTAGGGCTTCTAGGGTTAACATACCTACATATGTTCTCTAATAATTTTTAGTATAACCGTTCCAGGGTTCGTACACACCTGGAAATGTCAGGGAAATTGATTTATTTTTCCAGGTGCTGGAAATGTCAGGGAATTTTAAAATTGGGTTAAAAAGGGCCAAAAATGTCAGGGAATTTTGAAACAGTAGATGTGTCAGGGAAATGTCAGGGAATTTTGTATCAATGTTGAAAGAATAATGTTCCAGCAAAATACATTTTAGGGCTATGACAGGATATGAGTGAAATTCAAAATCATCTATTTGTTTCCACAAATTGCAAATCTTTCCATTAGGGTTGGTTGAATGACATTAGATCTGGTATTGTTTATTTGTAAGAACAGTGTGAACATTACACTGAAACCGAACAATAAAAATAATGTATAGATGATTTAATACAATTATGCTTTTTTTATGTAGTAAGCTTAGTCTTAGGCCATTCAAAGTGAATTACTAGTATATATTTCATGGTTTGATGAGGGGTTAATCTGAGGGGGGGGGGGGGGTGGGAGGTGAAAAACAAAAAAAATTCTGGGAGCTCTTGACAATGTAAAATTGTATTTATATTAAGAAGCTGTCTGTTCGACAGTCCGATCGTACATCAGTCTTTTCAACTTTCAGGGGCTTTGCCAATTTTGAAAACCTTAGCACATTACAGTTTTTGAATTTGGTCCAAATTTTTCATCTTCTAAAGATGAACCCAGCATTTTACTTTGGCTCAAATTTTGTATGATATAGCCTTAGGGACAAAGGACCTGCTCAAGAAGAAATATTCAAGATGGTCTCTGAATTCAAAATTGCCACCATTTTTTATGAAATTTTTGATAATTTAAAGAAATTTGATTCCTGATAACACAAAATACTGATTATTTGATTTGGTATCATAGGCCTGAGCCTTTTCGTGATCTGGTGATGCTACTTGAGAAGGAATTTCTAATATGGTGTCAATTGTTTTGGTGTAATTTTCCCAAAAGGGAGAAGACAATAGTAATGCCAGGTTATTGCTATCATATAATGTTCACAATGATAGTATTCAATAGAAATATGTTTCATTAGGTGGGAATTGCCCCTCAAGTGAGTTGCTATTTTTCTAGTAGGATTTAGAACAAAATTTTAAAGTTTCAGTTGTCATTTGGATTCATTACAAAACATTAACAAATTACAGTTTGAAATGCTTAGAATGTACCATATACAATTGTCAATTTTGAAATATTTCCAGGGGTGAACCCCCGTACCCCCCCCCCCCTTCTGGTTTTCCTTCGCTCGCAGTGATGCAAACCCCAAAAGATGCACCTCCTTGATACTTGTTGGCTATGCCCCTGTACATGTATGTTTACCTTTGGCCTTATGCAATGTAAAATATGTAATATTAAAAATAAAATGTTTCAGGAATAAATTGGTGAATAAGACTGCCTGTACAAGTAGTTAAGTCATGAGAAATGGTACTCCAGGAGAAACCCCAAATGTTTCATAATAAGTCTTTTTGTCTTGAATAATACAGTTGTTTGAGATTTTTTAGAGGGCGCGCGAGGAAAATTAGATCTGGAAATTTCCTTTTTTGCCTGGAAATGTCAGGGAATTGTCAGGGAAATTCATTTTGAAAAAGGTGTACGAACCCTGGTTTAATATACTTCCGGCTTTTAGGTTGAATTATGCCTGCCATTAACAGAGGACAAAAAATACCAAAAAATAAAATCCCAATTTTCACAATTTGGAGTACACAATGCAACAGAAAATAATACAAAATAATTTTAAATATATAATTTAGGTTTCTAAGCTATAAGTTTGTCATTTGTCATTTTTCTTATCAATACCAAAAAATTATGTAATCAGTGTATCAACGTTTTGTATTGTTTCTCAGGTATTAATAAGATAAATGCGTCAAATGAATCACTTTTATATTAGAATGACAAATGCTTAAATAATGCTAGTTTTTCATAAAATGGGTCTCAATACGTTTTGAGATATGGACTTTTATTCAGCGGTCAACATTATCAATAAAGGAGGGCCTACTGCTCTTCCTTGACTTATTGAGAATACAGCTAAAATTCTATTTCTCGGAGTTAGATATAGGCTGCTCAGTTGCTTATAAAACAACCATCAAGACTTGGTCGAATTCATGAATAATTTGTGTAAAATCGTTATCATTATCTTCCTAAAATTTGATTGTATCCAGTGTTAAGGTCAAAGAAGAAATAACCATCGGAAAACTTGATGATAGCCAGCAGTAACGTCGAGGAAGAACTGTAAGGCGCTTGATTGGGTATGACTCTAATTGATTATTAGACATGCCCTTGGAATATATGAACATTCCAATACATCTGTAAAATTTAACTGGATATAAGTTCTACCTATTTGTTTGTATTTTGTTTTATAAAACATGAAAAATAATTTGTTGTTTGACCCCTTGCGATTATATGGAAAAATTCTGGTAATAAAATGTTTTAAATGGTAAGAAAACTAATATGTTCCCAATCATAAATTACCTAAATATTCCAAACAATTTTGTTGAATCTACTTGGCTCAAGTATTTTTGAAAAATCAAACAAAATCTGAAAAACACACTTGCGTAATTACACTAATTAAACATCGATATCTACAGTAAAATTATAGTATATTTTTACATTATGGTTATATGTTTTTTGTCCGTATGCTTAGAATAACAGTCTGTGTCTTATAAAATGTATAAAAGTTCGAATCAAAATATTTACATTTTTTGACCCCTTGAAAGACATTTTTCGACCCGAAAGCCGGAAGTTTTTACAGCAAATGGTATCTTAAAAGAATCAAGACATATGCACCTCCATAAATATTGTTTCAAATATTGCTGCACTATAGAGTGTGTCTCAAAAAAATGTTACACTTACAAAAAGTTCAATATCTTATAATTTTGACTTTTCCCCTAAAATGTACTTTGTATACCAAAAGACAAATCTTTTTCGAATAATTTGACACCTTCCGATTCAAAATCTGTCCTTGATTGGCTCCACAGGACAGCTTTTAGTGTCCCATGGTAAAATCTGACTTGCGCCAACTTCTAAGTGATTGGATGGACCAAATGACAAAAGAGGAACAGTTTCTTTACCATTTAACTTTCTTCTGAGTAGAAGCTTGACGTTTAACCGAGTCATTCTGTAATTTTCCTATTTGTCTTACATGTGATCATTGGGTCTATCCACATAAACATGTGGTCCCCTCAACATGTACTCCAAAGCAAATCTGAGGTACCCTTGCCCATGCGCACATGCATTGTAATATCACACTGATTCCAGCAATTATTTTTGCTCAAGTTCATTCTAAAGGTCAGTTTGCGATGCTGTAAAGCGCTTTCAGAAGCCCTTCAAAAATCAAGGGTGTAAAGTGGGATGACCCTGGGGGCAAATCCATTTTGTAATTCAATGCTATTTTCTGATTTCCAAAGAGTTCTACCAAACAACCTGCCACATGCCTTTGCACCATCCTGTTGCCATCATACGTAACAAAATTGAACACTCTGACAATGAAATATTGTATTTCTATCCAGTAAAGAAACAACTGGATCATTGATCATATCAAGATATCACTGTCCACAGCATTCACACCAAAAAAGAATTGATCACCACATATCCAACCACTGAGAAGTTGGCGCAAATCAGATTTCACATGCGTCTATAAAATCTCTCCCGTGAATCTGATGGTGTAGATTTATTCGAGAAAGACTGGTCTTTCGGTATCTAAGTATATTTTAGGGGAAAACTCAAAATCATGAAAGATATTGAGCTTTTTGTAAGTGTAACATTTTTTGAGACAAACTGTAGTGTGCTACGGATCCTCCATATTCGGAAGTCATCCCATGGCCTAGTCACCATTTTTCATGAAATGGTATGATTTATTCTGTATTAATGTCAACACAACCACTAATACGGAACGGTCTAAACGGGACCGTGCAGTGAACGTTTGATTTTATAAAAACACGATAACTTATTGTGTAATCACTATCATAAGGGTTTTATGAAGTGATTTAGCTGGGTTGGACAAAAGGCAACCTTGGGGAAAATTGTAGATGCAAATGAAGGTGGCCATTATCTAAAAGTGAACTTTTGAAAACCACCGACTCAATTGATCATAATATTTTGCTATGATGAATTTTCAAACTATGAAATCAACTTTGGAATAGCGATAACATGGACGGTATACTACCTATATGACTGAAACTAGCACAGTGTATCATTCAACCATGCTTCATAATTAACTAATGGTGTGATTCAGGGACCTATTGTCTTGCTATATCAGTTCTATGAATCAAACACCTGCATAAATCAAGTGATTTACTGCATGAATGTGTTACTATTTGATGATGACACATATCTATTTTCATCAAATAATTTACATATATGCACACTATCTGATAAGTTGTTCTTACAAGGGTCGTTCGAAAAGTCTTGCACGACAGCTTCTCAAGAGAAGAGATTTTGTTATTTTTATGTGAAATTTCATACAGATATATTATTACCCTTCTTACAAGCTTATATGAAATTTCAGGACCATAAGCAATATACTTCTTGAGATACATTGACTTAAAAATTTGAACCAATGGCCCCATGGTACATATGACGTCATTAGATTGAATTGATTTTGTGAATACCTTTATAGACTGAAATTATTCTGTCAATCTTTCTTCTTTCAGCTGTTAATCAGGTTATAGTATAACTAATTTATGTTTAATCTAAATATACAGTACTTAACATATAGTCTTCCTTTCATTAATGCATTATACTTGTAGCATTACGTCCAGTCCATAAGCAAATGTCTGAACCATCCTACTTATAGGATATGACGCCCTCTCATAAGTACTGCTACCCCCAATACATTTCCCTTCTCTCATTCCATCTTGGAATACTTAGCAGACCCTATTGGAGTCATCATATGCAATATGTCTTAATCATGAATGAGTATAACTTGTGTTATACTGTTTCCCCATTCTTTATCATGTATTCTATCAATGTTTTCTCTCCAACTTTATTATTCAAAGCCATATTCTCCAATATCTCCTGAATTCATGAGAACTTTTATAACGTAGGCGTATACATGAAACTTTGACAGTGTAAGGGAATAAGATATGGGCACATACATACCAACTATGAACAAGATTGGTCCGTTATTCTCACAATTATACATATTTGTGCAAAACTTTTTGAACAACCCTTGTATTAATAAAATGTTTAATGAATGCAGTATTTCAATTCAAGAAATATACTAATTTGCATATACAGGGTGTTTCATATGCATGCACCTCCCTCTAAACTCATACATGTAGCCTTGCCAGTCGCCAACCTATCATGTTATATATCATTTCTTATGGAAAGTTACAATGGATTCCAAAGCCCGGATGACAAAACAAAGCCTGGATGTTAAATTATGTCATATTTTGGAAGTTTATTTTTACACCACGGGGGATAATCCCAGGGTTCAAAGAAGACATATGTGTAATTGTCTATCATGTAAATAATCTGTATTGAGAAGATATATCGTCCTGATTGACAGACAAAACTATGGCGGTTTCAAATTTTCGAAACACGCTTCAAATAATAGGCTATTATATTAATTTCTGGTGTTTTGATTAATATCATAGCTTATTATTTTGGATCAAAATGAAGAAATGTGTAATGAATATGCTTACATTGTTAAAACATCACAACGACGTGTTATTTTCGAAAACTAACTGGTGAGAATTTGCGCAAACGAATGTGGTACGCAAGATACGTAATTATATCTGTTAACTCTAAACTCTGGGGCGCTCCCCTCTCTATTTACCCACTTGATTTCACCCGAATCTCTCGATCTACATGCACATCAAGCCGGAGAAAACATTACTTTTCTCGATACTTTTTAAAAACATGTTAAAAGAATTAATTTGTTCGGGTTGTTATCGTTCGGGATACTGTTCAGTATTTCATAATGTGAAAACTCGAGGGTGTGTAGGGGTCTTGTTTGTAGGGGATCTGTTTGTGCCAGTCTACTTTTTTCTGGCGATTTTTTCACAGAATTAATTTACTTGTCATAGTTACATGTATAGCTATTGGATGTTTGGAGTCGTTAGAATAATATAAAGGTTTTGTTTAACACATGTGTGTTGACGACTTCCTGTTATCTTAATTTTCAGTTGTCACAAAACTCACCTTTACGTCTGGCTCTCCATTTTGCAGCCTCTGTCCGATTTCAAATATGTCGTTACCCGCATTCAAATGGATATATGTAATTTTTGGCCAGGCAACTTGGTTTCCTCCTGGTTTAATCCAATTCTTCTGGAACACTTCGTACACGACAGTCTTCTGAGGTGGGTCCGTTAGTTGGAATCCATGTGAAAGAAGAAGGTAATGACAATTACCTTGGAAATCAAAATGAGCTCCATCTAACGATCGATAGTGAACTTCGCCATATGCTTTGCACATTTGATAGGCACTTCTATCTAAAATAAAAAAGTATCTAATGTGATTTTCACGAATATTTCTGAGACGTGTTCAATTTACAATGACCATTATGTGACGACCCGTCTAATTTGAATACAAATTTTTTTTGGTATATTTTGAAGGATCATCTTACGCGCATAGGCTATATTTGTTTTTTAATATGACCTTGATCACTTACCCAATAAATAATAGCCTAATCACATATTCTAGTTTGAATACGAGCAGAAAGATAACTTGATCATCACATGCATTTAATTGACCAATTTCCATATAAATGGAAAATAGATATATCATGGGTGTTGGTAGGGCTAGAATACATGGCAACCTATTGTATAGCAGAAGTCACTTAATTTCTTGATTTAACCAGTAATTTCATTGGATCAACTTAAGACGCCATTGGAATGTAACTATATGATCTTATAGACATGTGGATTGTGATTTCGCATTAAAATTATGATCTTTATAAGAGTAAATGAACTTCAAAAGGTTGTGCAAATCAAAGTTGTTTTGATAGAAAATTACACAGAATTGAAATAGGCTACCAAATAGAAGAAAATGTTAATCTTTAATGGTTAAAATGCAGATTTCCTAAAATTTCATTTAAAACGAGAATTAACAAGATTTCAAAGCTACATGTATATGGAAAAGGACCATTGGAATAAAAGATGTCCTTTCTTTCGCGTTCTACCGTTGTTAAAAATGATGTTAAACAAATTTCGTCCATGTTGCATCTGTTCTTGCCTTCAATTTTAGTCTTTTACCATAAAGGTCGAAATATATGCCTGACATACAAGTAGATTGGTTTTAATGAGCTATATAAAATCAATAGAAACGTTGCTGGAATATTTTCAAGAAACAAACTTGTAGTCTTTCATAACACTTTTTATGTATGCCTTATATACTTTTTTTCATTTCTGACAAATCATATATAAGTATCTCGTTACCATCTGCTCTGACACTGCAGTCACTGCCAGAGTAGCCTAAATCACAACTACAGTAATTGTATATATTCGCAATATTGATGCACCTTCCCCTCGTTCCACAATTACACTGACTGCTTGCTGGAAAATATGCAAAACGATGATTAAAACAATCATAAAACTTGGAGTTATCATTTATTAGTCAAATATGTTCAACGACATTGGATTGTGAATTATTTCTGACAATAATGAAAGGTGTATCTTTTGAATCCATCCATTTAATTGATGGTTGATAATTATGATCATCACTTCACTCAAAGGTGAAATGATGGAGGTCTCGTTGCTCAGGTCTGATATTAGATTTTTTGACACACGCTGTTTTGATTTTGAAAATGCACTGTATGTATGTATCTCTGTATTTATAATTATGTAAAACTTGCTGAAACTAAATTAAGACTAATATGTATAAATTTTCAATAAATAATTTGGTCGATCTATTGCTGAAAAAATTCTAGTCAAAAACCGGCTCACCTTTTTTGGGACACCCGATATAACATAGAAGTATATTGAACTAGATTAGTGAAATTGAAGAAAGTTCAACTCAAGACTCCAGATTTAATTGACGATAGTTGATAGTTGAGTAAAGAGCTGAGTAGGTACCTCAGAAGATAGCCGAGTAACGGTACGAGAAATCAAAAAACGATTTGCTGTTGATTATCGCCAACATTTCAAAAGATCATAGATCCTGCATCGGAAGTCGGATTTCAATTCTGATTTCAAATTAGGGAATTTTCTCAAATCCTAAGAATTTTTTATTAAACAATCATTTGGAATAAATTTCTGTAGATTTTGAACACTTTCAAATTCACCCTTTTTGAGAGACAATTTTCTCAAAATTGCTGAAATTCTTAATAGGATAGAGTGAGTATCTAAGGATAAAAAAGAAAACTGAAAAGGAGCACGTAGGTTATCGCAAACAATTTCAAATGATTCTAACTTGAATTATGAATATTTTCTGATCATGAACATGGGTGTATCTTGTAGATCTATTCATTATCTTGAAGAAAAGTATATAGAATGATAATTTAGTTAATCAGACCTAAGTGATATTGAAGGGGCAATGGACCAATCAACATACTTTTTCAAAAATGTTGACCTTATTTTCACCAAAAATGCACCCTTTTATTATATTGTTGAATTAAGAAATATAGAACGAAGAGCAGGGGTAATATTGTCGACTACACCCCGCAGGGCTAGGCACAAACGTTTTTTATACCCCGGACGACCGAAGGGAATGAGGGGTTCGAAAGCTTTTGTGCCTAGCCCTAAGGGGTGTATTCGACGATATTACCCCTGCTCTGAGGTCTATATTACGATTCTAACATGAAAACTTAGCAAAATGTTTCGAATATTCATTATGGTCCGCCATTACTGTGACCTGTCGTTATGACGTCACACATTACACGTATTACCAGGGGCATTCTTCGCGAATATACCCCGGGTGAAATTTTGAGTTTGTTTACAGTTTATAGAAGGTGTGAATACAGTCATGTTCGAATATCTATTATGACTTACCACAAGTTCTTGGTTGCATTGAACTCTTTCTTGCCTCGTTCGCCAAAAGCCTGATCTGTCTATTTATGTTATTCACGTTATTTCTGACTGCATATACCTTTTTGGTCATAGAATACAACTCCTCCCCTGCTAAGTTCACAATTTTCTTATTTTCTGCTGATACGGTACTACTTCTGCGTGCCTTATTTAGTTCTCCTCTGAATAAGTTTGCTTTTCGTTGTATTTGTCCAAATACTCTTGAGGAAAGTGCACTCATTTTTACGTTTGTGCCATGAGTTGGTGTCATAGTTGTCATTGTACCAAAGACTTCATATACATAGTGTATATAATCATCAAATTTATCAGAAGCAGACGGATAAAAATAGAAATAATACATGAGGTGTGATTCTAGGAAAAGATGAACATCCCCAATTGCTCTAGTTAAACCGACCGAATATTTAATTATTTGTTTCACAATGTCCACTGATTTCTGTTGGATTCCCACTGCTGACATATCTCCACGCAACTTGTTCGCAACAAGGATCATATCGGGGATCTCCATGCGTTTGTATGAGGCAACAAACTCCTTTGTGTCATCAAGCACGTCGCACTCTGTAAAGGTTATGGTGGTCGCTCGTTTAGAAGTCACGTGGGGTGGAAGGTACATCCCATTCGCTAGGGCAGCCATCATGAACAACAGATTCGCTGTCATCAACATTATCCTATATTATCAAAGAGATAATGGCAAAAGATCAATATATCATCCCATTATTTCCACATTGTTACAGCTACATTTTCACTGATATTGAGAAATCAGAGGTTGAAGTTTAGGGCTTCATAACTTTTGAGTAGTAATTTTTAGAAACTTATTTTTTGGTATAGGTAATCATAAGTATATGTAGTCCTTGCAGGTCAAAAATTACTGATTAACAATAAATAAAAAACATATTTTTTATGTTTTTTTGTTTCTGAAAATAAAACTGAAAACTGAATTTTTATTCACTTCCAATTTGTTATTGTCTCGTACACCATTATTCTACCCATCTAATTATAAAAAATATGACTCATGTTCAAAACGGTACTGGATGAACTTGGTCCATGTTTTTGCTTACAGTTAATTAATATGTTAAATACGTGAAGTATATCATTCCTCATTGATTTTGAAAATAATAGGTTCTAGTTTTTCAGCATCTGCGAATTATTGCCATTTACTGTATATAATAATATTATATAATTGTATATACCCCCTGGCTACTTTTATGAGGAGGTACTATCAATGATAATCATCTATAATTTCTGTTATATACCTCCAATCACATTCATATTTCTAGGGATTGTGTATCTATATATAATTAGTTACTCTGACAAGTTTGATCATGCTTAGTGAAGTGGTTGCCATAACAACACATCATAAGTCCGAGAAATTGTAAAGATTTTCGATAAATCCACCAGGTCTTTAGTAGGTACATGACAAAGGTAAAAAGGCTTTAACAGGGTCAATAATAGATTAAGTTCACTGAATGAACTGTTTTTGTTCCAAATAATGTCAAATGTTTCTTTTGTTCGTACTACATGTATGGTGTCATGATTTATGATCTCCTTTGTTACTATATAATTTTGATGAAATGTTGGCGTCTTTTTACTGAGTTTTTTAAAGAAAGAAACCTTTGCATATCTTTACCAGATCGTCGAGAGTGTGTAACAAATGTCGAAACTCTATTCTTTATAAATGCATGTACCTGTATTTTAAAACTTAAAAATGCTGATATACATATCTATAAAATACACATAGAATTTAAATTTTACCAACCTTTTTTATCCGGCTTCACTCTCAGTTCTGAAGTTTTATTGTTATGTGTCAATGTCCCGACCGATGGTTGAGTTGATTGTTGAGACCCAAATATCACTACCTTATATAAGGATCATAATGTCATCTAGGATCACGAATATCTCTGAACCATTGTTAGAGTATCACAATCATGAACTTTCCATACAATTTTTATTCACGACTATCATTGTTATCATTGAAAACCCTTTTTCTGAAACAATAAGGCAATTGTATTTTATGGCATTCAGCAATTGTTGTATCAACGCCCATGGTTTACGCGTTTCGTGTGATACTTGTCCTATACCACGACTACGCACCATTGGGGCACCTTGGGATACGAATAATTTTCACATGTACATCGCTACATATACCAATTAAAGCTTGAAAAAGCTACAGTAGATACAAGTGATAAAAATCATGTTCTTCATAATGGCTCAGAAAACCCTATGATGCCACCAATGAAATGAAAATTGGAATTTTCCCCAACTGGCAGAAATTGTCGTGACAAACGCAAAAAAGGAATAGGTGAATGTGATGGAAACATCGTCAAGGTGAATTTAATCATAAGTTCACCACGTTTGCTTCAATAACGACATGCTGTTGGTCATGTAAAGTATTCATGACTTTATTAACATTTCAAAATAATGTATTGGAATGCAATCATTTATTACATATTTTATTACATGCATATAGTGTACATCAATATACGACAGAAAACTAATTTGAATGAATTCAAACTATTACTGAGCTCTATATAGAGTATTACAAAAATGTTTCATTCTAACAAGGTAAATAAATGGAATATTATACATTAATGTAAAATGTACTCAAAAATCATAACGAATGAGATTTTTCAATTTTTTCACACTCTGGTTATACAAAGTGAACTTAACGCTATTGTTATTAAACGGAATCTTTCATTTCTCGGGTTTAACAATTCGTCGAATCCAGTAAAATCTTTGCAAAATTCTGAAAAATTGTGTTTCTTGATATTGTTAGTTTATGGAACAACATTTAAGACCAATTCTTAATACTGTCGACCTTTAAAAACTTCTGTTGTATTTATAGTTCAAGCTGCCCAATATTCCAGCCAGCTATATGAGCAAACGGTGTAATATAATAATAACCATAAAGCTCTCACCAAGGCTAATTGGTCAACAATGTTTTTATTGGGGGGGGGGGGGGGGGGGTGAGATGACATTTTTCTTATTACCGTTTCAAGTATGTCGTAGTTGCATGATTGCATCTGATCGTAGAGACGTTAGACAATAACCTCTGGCGATATGCGACTTAGATATTGGAGACATTACCTGGCATATAAAATCGAAACGCCAACCTGTACGTATGAAGTCGCCATATACAAATGCATGTAGTTTTCTCACATAAATAATTGTTCGGTTACAGTGTTTACTAAGTCCGTTACTTAGACCACACTGCAGCGTGTAATATGCGTTCGCGGTTGCGTTATAAAAAACATTGCTAGCTTAATAAAGTCTCCAATAATTTACGGAGACTTATACATGTATGGTTTTAACGTTGTTCAGAAAATAGATGTCTCTAGATGTTTCTCGTGAAAATTGCAGGTTGCGCTTTTATTATCTCATTAGATATAAAGATGTCAGTTAAAGGGAGGTATACAATCTGTTAGCTTCAATAATGGGGAGTTTAAGCTTGAATATAAAATCGAAACGATAACATTTACGTATGACCAATCGCCCATACAAATGCATCACTTAAGCATTTTCCGTTCACGTTTAGATTGTAAAAAACATTGCAAGAGTAAACTCCCTATTGTCTATTGTGGATTTTTATTTCTGAATCGATACGAAATATAGCGTTCAGTTAAAAAATATCTAGAATACGTTTGTAGCAAAATCTGTTCGTTTCTTGTAAAAACTCTAGTGATATACTGTGCATATACTTTAAATGAATGCTCAACCCAGAACTTTTAGATCGAAGACCGAAGACAACGCAAAAACAACGTGTTTGAAACTGCCTCCAATAAAGATATAAGGTACAGGAAATTATTTTGGTGAAATCTTTTACAAGAAACGTAACTGTTACGGGTGTCAGAGATCACGAAACAGCTGGGTAGACAAACAGTCCGAGCCTTGGTCAACATTAAATTACCTTCATAACGACGAAACAAAGTTTGAGATAGTGATCATTGATATAAAACGGTAATAAAATAAATCGAAATAACAATGAATAAAAACATGCTGTTTCCGCAATTCTTTCAGATCTTTCCAATTTCCGTCACTTTACGGAAATTGGCGACGAAAATAAAAGCCTAACGAAGATGAATTGGATATGAACGACTTAATGAATGGCCACTTCTAGCACGGAATTAGTATTGGTTACTATATCATTATGCCTTCCAATCGAATTATTGTTTCTGGCTAAACAAGACAAGGAAGATATGAAAGGTTTGTCAAGCACCGTAAAGCTTCAAAAGGCGTCCCTCCACACACAATATATTACGTAGCCCTCCCCAAACAGCGATTTTGCAACATTTTAAATTGAGTAAACTATAACTTAAAGAGAGAATCAGAGATAGCGAGCAGGCATAACAAAAAATTGTTTCAATTTTAGAATATTTCTGGCTCATATAATTCCTTGTCATGTCTATTTTCTAAAAATCCCCAAAGTGCACACTTTATTTCAGGAAAACTAAAGATTTTTACAATAATGTATTATTTTTCTATAAGAATGGTTACCATTCTTATTATTTGGGAGAATTTAAACATCTTTCACCTATTTTTGCACTTTGAATCCATAATAACTTCACCAATTTAGAACATATCGTGAATCTTTTGGGAGATATTGTATTTGAGATTGTAAGGAATAGATTGGTAGGTCAATCATACATATTGCTTGTAATTTTGTCACCCTATAGATCTGATTCTGCCTTTAATTGAAAAACACCACAGAACGTTAAAGAGGTTCGTAAAATTGACGTTAGGAACAATATGTAAATCTAAGTAGCTTATTTGTAATAATTGCTTTCCAGTCATGATCACGCCCTTGCATATTTGCCGTTTTACATCAATTTCACATCTAGATTTTATTAACTTTGTCAGATACGGTGTCATAAAACCGGACGAGTAGTATACAGGTATAGCGTTACATCTCATAAAGTATAACAAAATGTCCGTCGCTTAATTAGATTGATCTAATAACTCAACTTATTCATTATCTAATAACTAAACTAAACTAGACTCTGACTTTTGGTTTTAAATATACCTAACAGGACTTGTCATCGTTCGTGATCATTATATAAAATACGACATAAATATTACTTTCTTGCGTAACCGAAGCCTAAAGATCTCTCGTGACCAATTAAGCAGCGTGAGAGTTGCGAGTTAATCACACAGAAGTATCACAAGACTCACAAGACGATACACTTTCTTACTAGGTGAACATTTTTGTCTAAAGCTGAACTAAATTACCCTATTTCACTCATTCAATAGTTGGATAGGCAACACAAATTAAATTTAAACTGTACCTGGCCGCTTACATGAATTGCACTGAAGCTGAACTAATTACACCCATTCACTTCTCAATACACTCACCACACAGTCAATACAAAAGAAATAAAATTCTCCTAAAATTGGACCATGGGCCATTTACCTTTCACAATAATCAATATAGGGTTTAAGTTAGATAAACCATATTCATGTTGGATCTTAGGAAAACTAATAGCCTCGAGTCAAAGTCCTCGGTTATTATTTATCCTAAAACTCAGAACTCGGTCATCCGTAACATAAATGAGTTATCAGTACATAGTCCTAGTCAGTAATATAGTCCCTTCTGAAGTGCAAGTTCATCATAACTTATGCCTTGGTCACATTTGCTCCGATTTTCACTACGGCGCCCGGCCGATTGAGTATTTTGTTTAAAATTGAATACAATATTGAGCAAAATACTCAATCGGCCGGGCGCCGGCTGATGGATTGGAGCATATGTGACCCAGGCATTAAGGTAGTTGTCCAATAAAATAAAGACTTCGTGGAGAACTATTTTAATGACACCATTAAATGTTCGCTAAGAGTCTCCGAGGGGATACAGTTAGAACAAAGACCCTTACAAACTAAATGTTTGTTTGTCGGTCTACAGGACTCCTTTTCGATTAAAGTGGTGGTGAATCTTTTCCATTTCTAGGAAAGTATAACCTATCTAGTCGATTTTGCTAACGAACAGTTAATTTATGTACAGGTGTGAGTCAATAGAGATAGTAAAATGTTAGTTGAGAAGTAAAGGCAGCTACCAATTGACAAAGATTGAAGGTATGAAGTTGAAGATGGGCATGTTGGGAAAAGGTTAAATATACGTGTATTCATGAGGATATTATAAATTATGGTCTTATTTAAGAATGAACAATGTTTATGTCAAAGACAACCATTTTAATTATTCTTATAATATGCATATCACTCTCTCAAGAAAATTATCGCTTGGTCAAAAACTTAAGGATGGTTAACGTTGAAACATACTCATTTTTGTTGAAGCACGACAACTTTGACTGGTATCGGCAATTAATAGTGAATCTTTTCTTCTCTCGTGAGAGCACTTTAGTCATTTACCCTTCGGTGTTCTTCTGGACCAAAAGTCAAACGTTAAATGAATGATATTCTTATGGATGTCAATTACCATTCGTAATATCCAGCTGTGGTACACCACGGGGAGTAAATCACCCCCTCTTAAATATTTATATTATTTATAAAAGGGTATAACAGAGGTATGGGGGGGGGGGAGGGGGAGGGGTGACTTACTCCCCATGGCACGCAAGAAGTTCCATGATAAATGAACATCTCCTTGAGATTCAAGGTCGACAGAACACTTTCTTAGATGGAAAATAAAATATAGCCTAGTATTAGTCATATACGTACAGTTCGTGGTTATGTTTGATATAATATGAGAGGGATGTATATACAGGGTGGGCCAGAAACAATACCCAAGTTTAAAGATGAATGATTCATATGATTTATGTTAACCATGCCATGTATTATATATCATTTTAAAGATAAATCATTTCCTAACAAAATGCCGCTTCTTTTTGAAAACCCTTTGTTTTCTCGTGACGTTAGAGACTAAAATTGACACCAGTGGTGCTGTGAGCGACCAAAAATCAAAAAATGAAAATCTCCTCCATATTGCAGTCACAGCTGCACTCAATATGCTTGACTGAATCATCATAAACTTATTTACGAGTA